TTATTTCTGGTGATAGTCCATATGCCTTTCATTTGCCTAAGAGCATTTGATATTTGACAGTGACGAATGCTTTCATAAAGTCTAGATAAACTGTTTGGATTGATCTGCCATGATCGATAACCTCTGTCCAATGATCAATAAATTTTAGCATCTGTAAAACAGTTGAAATTCCGTTGACGAATCCAAATTGGTGCTTACTTAACAAATCATTATTTTCTAGATATGTCATTATTCTTTTCTCCATAGCTTTGCATAGAACACTCCTCGTTAAGCTAATTGGCCTGTAATTTGTTGGTAATTTCTTGTCCCCCTTTTTGTGTATTGCAGTAACCTAACCTTCCTTCCAGCCTTCAGGAAATTCTCAAGACTTAAGGGAAGAGTTAAAAATATCACATTAAGGGGTTTTTAATATATCAGCAGTTTCTTTAAGTACTCTCAGATGAATGTTATCTGGTCCTGGCGATTGAGTGGGGTTCAATGATTTTAAAATGTTATATACCTGAAGCTCTGAAATTTCAGTATTGACGCACGGACTGTTTACGGTAAAAATCTTTCAGAACTGGGATGTAGCCTTGCGGTTCGACCGTAAATACACTCGAGACAAAAGTTTGACAATGCATTCGTCTTATCTTCATCATTTTTAGCGACTAATGTTTCGTTTCCGCGCTCGATGTGCAGGTCAGAGATTCCGGATCTTGTTTTCGTTTTTGAGTTTGCATATCTCCAAAACAGCTTAGGGTTAGTTTTTACTGCCTGTGCGATCTCGTGCTCCAAATTTCTTTTTAATTTTCTTACCTAAGTTTTTACTTTATTTCTGGCCAATACATATTCTTTGTATTTCTCGCCTTGTTTCGGGGTATCTCTGCCAGCTTCTATGCTTCCGTTTAATGGCCTGTACAGTTTGGCCATCTAGAGTATCCTTTTAGGTATATATCGATCAATGGCGGATTTCATTATCTAATGAAAGATTTCGTATTTTGATTTTGTGTCCGACGCTCGACTTATTGTTTCCTTCCAATCCATCAATAGTTATTTTCTAATTTGTTCATAGTCTCCTTTATTATAACTATACCTGATTGTTTTGCTAAAGCAAAATGTTTTTGTACAGCTAAAATCGAAAATTATAGTACCGTGATCACCCTTCTCAGTCCGCTTCTTATTTCAGTATTACGTATCATATTCTGTTCATTTGAAAATAGCATTTCTAGAATGCTGGGCTCGTTATTCGCTCTTTCTGTTTTTGGATTCTTGATATGCTGAAACAGAAATGAGTCCTTCACCGCCTCTAGAAATTTATGTTCCAGACTATTTGATCCCCTAGACGGTATCCATTGATGGCAGTCTGTATTTTTCAAGTTGAAGTCTCCCATTATCAGAAAGTGATTTTGTTTATTTCCTCTACATTGGTATATCTTAGAGTGCCAAATTATTTTCACCTTCGCTGTTAAGACTCCTGTAAAGGCATCCGATTGTTAAGACATTTCCTTTATCCAGATTAATTTTGATCCACAACTGCTCGTAAAACTTATTCCCCTGACTCATTTCTTTCTCTTGATTTTACCTCTTATCTCCGGGCGGTTTCCTCTTCTCGTTCCTTTATGGTATGATCGTTACTGATCCGGATGCTGCTGTATTTCTCATTGTTCTTAGGTACAGATATGTTTTTAATGAAAACTTTCTTTTTCTCGGTCGATGAAAAAGAAACTAAGATAGGCCTAGATTGGTTCATGGATTGATCGTACTTGCCAAGTCTAAATACTTTGGCGACATTGTCCTCATATTTCACTTTGTATGTCTCAAACTTTTCCTGTATTTCCTTCTCGTCTACAATTTTCCTTGCCCTCCCGTCGGTAACAGTTTGCACCTTTACGCCGAATACAACGATGTTGGATTTCCTAGATTTTCTCTCATTCAGTTCTGAGATAGCATCTTGCTATGCATCTTTATCAGCAATATTGTGCTTGGTGTGCACAAATTTTCTACCCTCTTCTGTGAATTTGCTTACCTCTTTTCTAATTATTTCCTTAACATGTTCCTCGTTGCCCTTGCTCTGTATCAAATTCTCCGGAGATTTGATTCTGTCCTCGATGATCTCCATGATTTCGGCACATTTTTGCTCGATTTGGATATCTGTTTCGAGATTTTTCTCTACAGTAGCGAGACAGGGAGGACAAAACCATATAGAATCTGCTGATTTTGTTAATACGACATGTTCATCTTCATCCTTGTTTACACATTTAATGCAGTATTGAAGACTACATCTGCGACACTTCATCGCTTTTGTGTTTGAGTCCGGTATAACTGCGCAAACCTTGCAGCAATCTCCATCCCACGGAAAAGAGAACGGCTTCCGGTGACCGTTTTAGCCTCAGTTCTACTTGAGGATCTTGTCGCGCGGACCGCTGTATCATTATCATGTTGTTTATTTACGTCGCCATGCTTACCGGCCGGTTCCGGCATGCTGATGTTCAGCGTATTTTAACCGTTTCCTGTCTTCAAATCTTTTGAAATTTTAACTGTGAGTCGGTAGTGCCTTTAGTACTTCTCTGCTAAACTAAACTACAATCTGTCCTTGTTTACGATGTAAATTGGTAATATTGGACTCATCGCCTAGCGGAGCTCGGGACAATCACGTCCGTTCCATCCATTGACTCACATGTGTGTAGATCTTTAGATAACTAATGAGTCCAGCTACAAATCGATGTGAACTATACACTTGTTTCATACTTCTAGAATTCATCAGTGATGTTGAGAACCTAACTCTTGAAACCTAGGAGGCGACTAAGGAAAATCAAATTGATTGAAAAGAACACCAAAACCTTGAGAAGGAGGTGCACTAGTTTCATAACCTAATAAAGTTCGTGATTTCGTAAATTCGTAAATATAATTTCAGAAGAATGTGAAGTTCATGAATTTGTGCAACAATTCGCATAAGTTAAAAAGAGGAATGTGGAGTTTAGTACACCTCTGGGGAATTAAAGATTCTAATAGCATCATTACCACTTGTACAATTAGACAGTCTGTTTAACAGAAATCAAGCCATTTATGTTGAAACAAGAATTTCATAATTCCAAGATTTACAAAAGAGGGTCCCCATAATTTAGTCGGATGAGTGTTGGTCTATCTGTGTTTCGACGATCCCGGCCTGTGGCGGTTTGTGTTTCTCAGAAATCTGAGAAAGAGCCGGTCAAACGTAATTGTGTCCTTTGACAATATACCGTCATTGCTTCGGAATTCATGCGACGGCCTTCCGTATGTTGTTCATGAACGTAGTTAGCAGCTCTTTAAGAGGACTCTATTTCAAGGACGACCAACCAGTAGAAAGCAAATTTATACCAAAAATATCTTTATCATAACATTATAGATTATAGGTGCTATTTCCTCTTGATCGTACCTTAAGGAGTTTAATTTGACAAATATAATCAATCTTCATAAAGGTGACCATTTATCATCTGTACCGCGTCTTCTGACATCTTATTGACAGTGGAAGCTGTCACATTTTTCTTTGGTATCAAAAGCATTATATCAACAGGGAATGATCTATAGGAAGTAGACAGTGCTTCATTTTTGAAGACACTCAAGTCTCAAGGAAACAAGTATTTGTTTGTAGGACGCATTAACACTTTATTTGTACACTCGATGCTTATTGCTCTGGTTTAAAGGCGGTGGAAATTTACGTGATATGCAAGCGTCTGGGCGATCGTAATCACGAATCTTTTTAACGACTAAACCCAGAGTAGCAGTAGACTGCTAATTTCGACGATAAAATGGTTTCACTGTTACCTAATTAATGTAATGAACTACCTTCAACAAGACCCGTGTCCTGCTGCAGTAGTTGTACATATTCTAGAAACAAGAAATCTACTTATTAAGGAGACTAACACTATGGTTAACTTCACTTTTATCAGGCAGATACATGAACATCATCTAAAAATATTATTAAGGAATATTGTCCAATCTTCATGGAGATAGATATAAACACAGGCAACAAAGTAATCTACAACTTGTCTGCTGTTCCTGAACTACATAACTATTGAAGTAAGGTTTTGCTAAAAGATTAGTAAGAAATATAATATACAAGCGCTTGACATGCAAACAAATCGAGTTTCCCCATGAACGCAGTTCACCGTACACCAAAGAGTCAAAAGATCAAATTAGACTATTATAATGGCTGGAATTATCGGTTTTTGATCAATGTATTGTTTCAGTTAGGCATTTTTTCACAACAGAGTTTTTATCAATCCGAGATCAGACATTTATTGTCAGTCAATTACTAGTGCATGTCCGTAGGTTAGTTCTGTTCATTCTATCAAAGCTATACACAAAGTCATTGTCACGCGTGTATTTTACACTACAGTACTGGTGACTGGAATGTGAATATATGTTCAATAGGATGGACACAAATTTTACAAGACAGTCGTAATCAAGGTAAGTATGGACACATATGAAATATATGTTAAAGTGCTTCACAATTTGTTTGATAATTAACCAATATAATATGCCATGCAAACCTTCCCCGTTTTATACTTCATGATATATATGTTAAGTGTTCTCTTTCTTTTTTTCGTTCTTTTCTTGGCCTCAACTTTTCGTGGTTTTACCACAAATTTGGAGCGCAATGTTTACATTTTCAGCTGAAGTCATAAAACGGACAAATGCTCTGTTTGTTAATTCTGCTAAATCCTAGGAAAAGTGAAAAATAAAATTCAATAAAAATAGTTTCCTTTACAGTATGCAGATAATAACTGTAAACTGTTGAATCTGATATATGTATTTTTACTTTACTGTTTCAGGTAAAGAAACACCTGGTAACAGATTCAAAGATTACCAGCTGTTCTAATTGAATAAGCTGACGTTTGTTTGGTAGCTCTCACAATATTGCCTGAGGGTTTAGATAATTTTACTTTTATTGTTCAAAAAAACTGAATTTTTTCGTTTAAGCCGAATCACGGTTCCCTATTTGAAATATTTGAATTAAATTTCACAGAAAAAACTATTCGATGACGTTTATACTTGCAAAACTTCGCAATATTTCGAGAAATCGACACCATAGGAAAATCGTGATTCTGATATGTATGGTTGGGACAGTGTTGATGGTCGCAAAGTACCACAGGAGTGCGGCCGTCCGGAATGTACCTAAAGGTGAGTCAGTCGAAATACGAAGTCGATTGTTATGATGTTACCTCTGTCTGTTTGTTTTAACAACTGTTTAAAACTGACACTTAATGTGTAAATTTATTTCATCGTCTATTATGGAGATAATTATAACATTTATTACTGTATTTAACATTTTAATATATTTAAGATAAAGTAGCAATTATTATACCGATAATTTACACCATGTTTAGGAATTGCTACCAATAGAAAACCCGGTAAATAGATAATACACAACTCTGGGTACGTATTCTTTGTAATAAGTAAGATATACGATTCTATAAATAGAAAACACTAAATACGTGTTATATGTGCTACGTAAGAGATACAGCTTTTTATAAATAGAAAACACTATTGTAGATACATATTCTAGTGATAAGTAAGAGACACATTTCTATGCATAGAAAACACAGCTCTAGATACATATTTGACGAGAAAAGTAAGAGATATCATTTCGATTCAATTGAATTGCTTCATGAAAAAAATATTCCACAGTTAAGCTATAACCATTGTATCTAAATCAAATTATGACGATTGTTCATGACGTCAATTGACCCCAAAACATGACCCCCGAAAGACGTCAATAATCCTTACATAAAGATAACGCTGAATTCTGAAATATTTCACAAAGCATATATAAGTATCAATTCTTTTAATCGGTATGAATCACAATACAGCTAACTTTACTTTATTTTGCAATTTTCGGCGGAAATCAGAATTGTATTTTTGCGAATGTCTTCATCAATAAAAGAAAAACTAGGTGTCCGACAGTAAAATCATGACACTTGTTGCTAAATTTCAAAACAGAGGAGAATTGTCCCTATTATAAATAATTTCTTTACATATTACAAAAATGAACTTGAACAATACGGCAAAATGATAATAATCTTTGCGATAATTTGTATCATAGTATCGTGTTTTAAATCATGTTATAACACGCTCTGAACAAATTACTTATCCAGTATATCACGTTTTGAGTAGCATTATCAAAAGACAAAGACCAAAGTATATATCAGAATATTCTAACATACTCTTCCTTTGACAGACACCATGCAACTTGTAGAGCACCTGGTTAACTTTGCAACTAAAAACACATCTCAAGGTGAGTGGATGATGACGAATGAAATAAACCTGATGACGGTTGAGTGACGTCATTGCGTGTAATAGTTCTCCATCCCTAAACATAGCAATTAAAGAAAGTATCAAAGCAGACTTAATTTTGCTTCTTTTTTATTTGGATATTTTTCCTAAATTAACTTTCTTGTCGTAAACATAGATAAGTATAAATACGTCTTAGTATGAATTATTGGTGATATTTAACAAACGAGAATAGATGTTGTATTTGTGATGCATTGTTGCTATAGCGTTGACATTAAGAGATTTTAAACAATTACTTATGCAGTCTAAAGTAAACAGCATTAGTGCCGTTGAGTTAAGTATTGTTGAATGTATATCATAGGATATCCTTGCTTCCTTTTTGTAGGTGCCGCCCAGGAAGTAAACAGTGAGCCGGGTCCTGTAAATTGTACCTGTAAATGTCCAGAAGTCGTAACCGTCCCAGCACCAATGGTAATATGTGACTTCTTGTTCATGTAGAATGTTATCAGTACCTGGTAAAACATAAACAGTTCAAATCAAATATAAATTTTGTCCTCGCTCTGCTATCAAATACTCACAGATTGTGTTATATATACCAATACCAAAGACAGATAACCGATATAAAAAAAACATCACGTGACCTAATATATACCACGTCAGCAGGTCTATGTGGTCACCATAGTATCGCTGTTTCATGATAAGCTTCATTTTTAATAGGGAAATATTTCTGATATTTTCATTTTTTACAATCAATTTTGAGTTTCTCCAGTCGCCGTCTAGTTTGAAATATAGCACCTCGGCATCACTAACAAGTCATAGAAAGACGAAACATCCGTTTGATGAAGTTACATACATCATTTAAGCCTGTTGTATCTTTTCATAATGTAATTTTGTATTTTTGTCTTATGTATAATACTACTGAAAAATAGTCACCTTTAGCGCCATATTGTTTCTGTGCGATACAAATATCTGATGGATTTATCACTGTAAATATTGTTCTTACTTTGAGAACGTTACATTGTTACTATTTGATAAACTTGTCATCATTCTTTTGGTACATTTTAATATATCAATGACTTTAATTATCAACACATGTTTACGTGTTCACTATCGTTGTTATTTCAGGAACCTGTAGTGACTGGAAAACCCTACAGAAACCCAGTACAAATTGGACGAAGAGCCACCATGCTGAAGGAATGCAAAAAGCTTGGAAACAACTACAATGGAACTCTCCCAGATTCGAAAATAAAGGCAAATATGATATATGACGAGAAATCCAACCTTGTATTTTGTGATATACCAAAGGCTGGGTCGACTTTTCTGAAACAAGTTCTCCATATTGTGGCTGGCCATCGCCATAAAAAGGATCCGTTTAGTATAGAAGGGAGTGACGTTCACAGAATCCCCTTTACTACTTTCAGTAAGATTCCTTACGACCAGGCACTGAAACGACTCGTCCATTCGATTAAGTTCCTGTTCGTCCGAGATCCATATTCCAGGATGCTTTCCGGATATGTAGATAAACTTTACACCAATAATTATATATTCTGGGGTAAGACTGGTAAAGGAATCGTTGAAAACCACAGAATAAATGCTTCGAGACTTTCCAAAGAATGTGGTCACGATATTACCTTCTCAGAGTTCATCCAACACGTGATCAAGTCGGAAACTTCCGGTAATCATCGGGATCCGCACTGGTATCCGATGTTTGATGCATGCCGTCCCTGTAGTCTTGAATATGATGTTATAGGAAAGATGGAATCATTTAAAGAAGATCTTGAGAACTTCCTTAAAAGTCAAAATCTACAGAATATTGTTGATATTTCTAACATGAATCAAGGAAACGATAATGTCGCAGTCACGGTCACGGTTAACAGAGCGTTTGAAGCGGTTAGAGAAAGGCCTAAATGTATTCCTTTACAGCATGCGCTGGTCCGTGCATGGAAAGTTCTGCAAATTCGTGGAGTTTTAAGTCCGTTGTCAAACTTTCCGTATGAATTGATAAAGAACAGTCCAAATATAACACAACCCAAATTTCAGGATATAGTCGTGAAGGAAATGAAACAGACTCCTATGAATCAATCACAGAAAGCGATTTCGCGACAACAGGCAATGATCCACGCCTACAGATCTGTGTCATCAGAAATCTTGAAGAACTTTACGACTGTTTTCCATCCAGACTTCGCTGTGTTCGGATACGATAAAAACCTTGGAAAAAAAGATGAAAAGTTTTTAACATGGGATCCTTTCAAACTCAACTTTTAACTGGACCAAATTTGTAATTTGTGTATACCTTGGCATTGCGCATATTTAAAAATCTCGCAGATGATCAAAAAATCAAACCAGACGCTCAAAACTAAACAAAACTTTTTTACTCAAAACAAGAAAGAAAGACAGACATGAATTGATTGCTAGGATTTTAATAATCTACGTTAAGTTGCTTAGGCACTAATGACATCATCATTGTGAAAGCATATAGGTTACGTCAGCCTTTAATGAAGAAAACACTTTCATTAAAAAGATACTGGAAATAGATAAGAGTCAGAAGCTGTGATAGTTCATCACGCTGACCTACATAACTTCGGAGGAAGATCCGAGGTGCATGATTCGACGCTCACTACTCGCTGTTAACTACCCGCGATTTCATTGTCTGGAGACTGGGAGGCGGACAGGTGTAGCATGCGATGAACCTCCCGCATGTTGTTCAGCGAGGTTACCTCTGGCAATTATATTGAAAATCCATCTCAAATATCACTGGCTGTTAACGGGAGCTAAACGGAGCAAACAAACATTGAGTTGTGTTTTGATGATATAAACATCGATATTTATTTCTCTTTAATTCGGATGTTTATTTGTCATATACAAGAGGCTATATCAACAATATGGCACACTATGTTGACTTTCTGTAGAAGAATTAAAGCACAAGCATGTCAACACTCCTATGACATTCATACGTGACGTCACTCTATTATATCGGCATGCCTTCTGTCAATAGCATCTCGTGCTACGAAATATAACACGCTGTATTTTTTACCATTTTTTATAAGGACGCTAATTAACATTCTCGTTCACATCCTCTTAAAGGCGGTGGCCTTTTTGGAATTTTTCGCAATATGCAAGCGTCTGGGCGATCGTGTTCACGAGTCTTTTTAACGACTAAACGTAGAGTAGTAGTAGACTGCTTATTTCGACGAGAGAATGGTTTCACTGTTATCTAATTAATGTAATGAACTACCTTCAACAAGACCCGTGTCCTGCTGCAGTAGTTGTATGTAAATATGTGTACATCTATTATATATTCTAGAAATAAGAAATCTACTTATTAAGAAGGCTAACGCATGAACACCAGATAAAAATATCATTAAGGAATCTTGCCCAGTCTACATAGAGATGGATATAAACACAGGCAAAAAAGTAATCTACAACTTACGTTCTATTCATTAGCATCATAACTATTGAAGTAAGGTTTTACAAAAAAGCAGGAGACATAGAATATCGGCAGGCCTTCAGTCACTAGTATCTCATGCTATGAAATATAACACACTTTACTTCATTTTTTATCCAAAAGGAAGCAAAAAACATGTTCTTGTGTCATTTGGAAATTTCGAATTTGTTAATGTTCTATTTAATACTTGGTACGAAAATTGATTTCTTGGAGAAGAAATAAGAATTCATGAAGGTGAAATGTCAAATTTATTGAGTTTTAAAAATATCATATTATTGATATAATTTATTGTATATCATTATTGTCTTATATTATTTTGCGACTATATACGAGTATAAAGTTAGGAACATACCTACCTTTTAGTTATGTTAATATGAGTGATTTAACAATGATCGTGATTCATAGATATATCTTACTATTGCCAATAAAGCTCTTACTTTTTAATTATGTTAATGGTATGTATCTTGTCTGTTAATCCCCATTTTAAATATTGTAAAAAAATTATTTATTGTTTTCATATCAGCTAAAAATATCTAATTATGTAGAATGACTCCTAGGATTTTTGTATATAATAAATCATATGTTAAGTCCATACGCTAACTCATCATACCCTGATTTGTGACTTAAAATCAGTCATAGCTTAGAGACCAAAATAACAAAGTTTAATTACATTTACGATTTTTAACATTCTTGCGACAGGAGCCTGTCTACTGTATATAATTTAAGAGATAAAATATTCAGACTAGCTAGTCTTTCTTTCGTACCTAATTAGTTTCAGTTGAATTAAAAATAAAAAATGATTTGTAATGAAATTATAAGACTTATTAAATTGTGACAAATTACATTAATGAGACAATTTAAATTTGTTTCCTGTGTAAGTCTATAGTAAATGTAAGTGGCTGTGAGATTTTATCTCATCACAGTCGGCTGATTTGCTGAAGGGCACTAAGAATTAATATGAAACAGAAATGGAATAATGAGACATGTATTAATGATAATACTATGATATTTTTGTCTACTAGTTTCTTCGATGTACTTAAAATAAAAGTTCAGAATACTGACACATCGTAAATATTTACATATCTGTCACATTAACATTCTTTATATTTATGGAACAAGAATGTTCCCAACGGTTCACTCCACCAGAACTCATAATAGTCATTACATGTTTACCATATTTTCTTATTTTTACTTCGCATTTGTTCAATATTTCTTCTATCAAAAATCATGTATTGACCGTATGAAGGCGCTGTGTATCTATTATATCAAGCAACATGTATAACCTTTATGTTCATAGTTTACTTGTCATGAAAATAAATTATCATTTCATTTCGTTTAAATAATTATCATATTAGGAATATTTTAATTTGAAATTATCATTGTATGTTGTCACTTGTCATTAAAACTAATACCTATCCATTGACATATTCTGAATATATTTTTGTGGGTCATGCCGAATGATATTAATGAATTACAGTTTACATCCATGATGCCGACCTTCCATAAACACAGTATATGTATTTATGCATACTATTATATTTATTAACATGATATATTTTACAACGGAGCTAGTCAGGACCACTTGATGATAAATGCACAAGGAGGAGCGACCATATAGAAGCTAGGTAATGTTTTATGCGAGTGTCACTTCACTGATGACAAATCTTTCGGAACAAAAGGAATTTCCCTGAGTTCAACATCTCCGGACAAAGATCTATGTAACAACTGGAAACAACTTACCACCACTAGTGGTCATATGAACATTTTTAAAGGTAAGGGAATTCTATTTCAGGGTTAGAAAGGTGATGAATTGGTTAGCTTTAACATCGGACAAACATTAAGCTGTCTTACATTTGAAATAACTAAACAGATTTTTGTCTGTCTTATATAGGCGAGAGAGGTTAGACAATTCAACGGTCTAATAAACATAGTCGGTAATTGATTAAAAAGCCTAAATTATGTGAACAAATTAGTGAAGCTAGAAAATCTCTCAGTTTTAAAGGTGATCGGTCATGCATAAAAACGAAGAGGGATCAAAGACAAATAATTAACATCAGTAAGCCTGCAGATAGAACACACCCGGGAAAACGGAGGATATATTCCGGTTTGTTATGTACAAAATCGGTAACATTTACACAATTGTGTAATATCTATTTATACTATTTATAATTGTGTATCATAAAGCCATAAATAATAAGCCCATCCCTAACTTTCATAAACAGGTAATTTGATGTAACCTTGACCTATAGAGAGATAAATCCTCCTACAAATAGTCCTGGATACGTATGATATCTCAGACTTAAAATTGCTGGTTTGGTTTTATATTTTTGTACAATGAAATAGCAAGTGTTTCTTAACCTTTTATTAACCATTTATAGACAAGACTTCAAGCATTATCATTATCATATGATTACAGCCCATTACGTATACACTTAATCCAGTGACATCGTGACGTCATTAGCGTGCCTCCAAATTTCTGATTTAATCTTGTATTATTTCACGTCCCTGTTAACATTGATGGTCATCTATAGATAGTATTTTGAAAGAAAACAATTTAAAATGAAGTAATCCAACCCTAACCAGAATGCATTTTACTTCCAGGATGAAGTCATTGTTTAAAAGGATACGGATTGGTCTTGTGATTTTGATGCTAATATCAATTTTTCTGCTACTGTGGAACGCTGAGTACATTATTTTGATAAATAAGAGGCCAAGAATTTACATACATCAGACATATATGACACCTCGAACAACAACAAGCACCGTCCACGGTTTTCCAAGTAAAGCAAAGTTAACGTATATCGGAATTAATAAATTGTACATGCCAAAAATTACAATTCGCCAAACGTCAACGAACAAAATGAAAACGTACGGTACATACAACATGACGTTATCTGTTAATAAAACTTTATCAAAAACAGTTGAATCATCGACAGGTGTAAATGACATCATCGTTAAAACACACAAATCTTCGAAAGGTGTAAATGACACCTTAATGAAAACAACCAAATCATCGCCAGGTTTTAAAGAAACCTTAGTGAAAACAAACAAATCATCGCCAGGTTTTAAAGAAACCTTAGTGAAAACAGACAAATCATCGCCCGGTGTAAACGAAACCTTAGTGAAAACAGACCAACCACCGCCCGGTGTAAATATAACTTTAGTGAAAACAGACAAATCATCGCCAGGTGTAACTGAAACCTTAGTGAAAACAGAAAAATCATCGCCAGGTTTTAAAGAAACCTTAGTGAAAACAGACAAATCATCGCCAGGTGTAAACGAAACCTTAGTGAAAACAGACAAATCATCGCCAGGTGTAAATAAAACCTTAGTGAAAATCATCGCCAGGTTTAAAAGAAACCTTATTGAAAACAGACAAATCATCGCCAGGTGTAAACGAAACCTTAGTGAAAACAGACAAATCATTGCCAGGTGTAAACGAAACCTTAGTGAAAACAGAAAAATCATCGCCAGGTGTTAAAGAAACCTTAGTGAAAACAGAAAAATCATCGCCAGGTGTTAAAGAAACCTTAGTGAAAACAGACAAATCATCGCCAGGTTTTAAAGAAACCTTAGTGAAAACAGACAAATCATCGCCAGGTGTAAATAAAACCTTAGTGAATACAGACAAATCATCGCCAGGTTTAAAAGAAACCTTATTGAAAACAGACAAATCATCGCCAGGTGTAAACGAAACCTTAGTGAAAACAGACAAATCATTGCCAGGTGTAAACGAAACCTTAGTGAAAACAGAAAAATCATCGCCAGGTGTTAAAGAAACCTTAGTGAAAACAGAAAAATCATCGCCAGGTGTTAAAGAAACCTTAGTGAAAACAGACAAATCATCGCCAGGTTTTAAAGTAACCTTAGTGAAAACAGACAAATCATCGCCAGGTGTAAATAAAACCTTAGTGAATACAGACAAATCATCGCCAGGTTTAAAAGAAACCTTATTGAAAACAGACAAATCATTGCCAGGTGTAAACGAAACCTTAGTGAAAACAGAAAAATCATCGCCAGGTGTTAAAGAAACCTTAGTGAAAACAGAAAAATCATCGCCAGGTGTTAAAGAAACCTTAGTGAAAACAGACAAATCATCGCCAGGTGTAAATAAAACCTTAGTGAAAACAGACAAATCATCGCCAGGTGTAAATAAAACCTTAGTGAATACAGACAAATCATCGCCAGGTTTAAAAGAAACCTTATTGAAAACAGACAAATCATCGCCAGGTGTAAACGAAACCTTAGTTAAAACAGACAAATCATCGCCAGGTGTAAATAAAACCTTAGTGAAAACAGACAAATCATCGAAAGGTGTAAATGAAACCTTAGTGAAAACAAACAAAAAATTACCAACTGTTCAGGACTCGTTAGCGAAAACAGCCGAACCATCTTCAGGTATGAACAAAACTTCAACAAAATTGGGCAATCTGTCTCTTGGAGTTACTGATTCGCCAATAAAGTTATCCGATCAGGTGACAACAGAAACGCCATGGTCTAAGTTTCGGTACCCTCTCGATATAGATATGATTGAGCTCGTTACAAAATTAAAATCAAATGTTCCTGTAGATCAAAAACCGATATTTTCATACACATATAACTTTACTTTTCATCGCAAACGAAAATGTTCCAAAAAATCGCCGCCATTCTTTATTGTTCTTATCAAATCTGCTGTAGTCAATTCTAAACACAGAGCTGCAATCAGAGACACATGGGCACATTCACATCTGCAAAAGAAATATAACTTTGTTAGGATGTTCTTTGTTGGTAGTTCTGATAACAAGACGGATTTGTCAGCCATTGAAAAGGAAAGTAATAGATACAAAGACATTGTCCGGATTTCTTTTCTCGACAATTACTATAATAACACACTTAAGACTGTAGGAGCAATTCACTGGACCGTGAAACACTGTAACCGTTCTAAGTTTGTAGTATTTGTTGATGACGATATGTTAGTTTCCATAAAAACACTAAACACTTTTTTGAAACATAAAGTAACAGGCCATACATTTTTCGGTGGCTATATAAACGAACATGCTCCTCAAAGAAGGAAGGGAGATAAATGGTACGTTTCCCCTCAGGAATATCCCTACAATAGATATCCACCCATGCCATCCGGCGGGTTCATGATCATGACCATGAACTTGGTCGTAGACTTACATTTTGCCTCACAATACACCAAGAAATTCATATTTGACGACTGCTATATAGCAATTTTAGCGTATAAACTGCATGTGCAACCTGTAAACATACCCACAGTCTATGTTTTTCCTATCCACACACACCGTAAACTACTCCGAAAAAGTATAGCTGTGCATGGGTATGATCCGCCTTCTCTGAAAGACACCTGGAGACTTTTGAAACGATCTTATGTAAACCATGGTCTAAATGTTGATTAAAAAAAACTGTTTCTTTTGGAATATTTTATTAATATTGGTGCAAATTTAGCTCCTTTAGATGACTTAGATGTTTCAATGCAAGGAAGAATGCCATACGATATTTCTATATAGTCCAAAATGTTGATATCCGTCATTTCTTAGCATTTCGTACTTGGAGTAAATTTAGTTTAAGATTGTTTGTAACATCATCTTCAAACCACTTATAAAAATCATTTAGGCTTGAAGTAGCCGAACATTGTTAGGATTCCAACTATTGGAATTTGACCAGCTTCATATCTTATTTCTTGAACAACATTATAAATACTGACATCCAGTTGGGATAAATTGGTGATCGTCGTTCTAACATTACCAATGTTCTCGAGGGAACATTTCCACCAAAAATACATCAAGGAGACAATAAGGCAGACATATTAAAATTATACAATAATCATTATTGCTGTATTTATCAAACAACTTGGAAACCGTGCTTAGTTGTACAGAAAATGTTTACAAAACATTGATATTTTTTGATGATGTCATAATTGCGATAATTCTGTTCAAACGTTTTTCTGATATTGTTTTTCCCTGTATTAGTGACGTGATTGGGAAATAAGAAATTTTAAAATCAATAATAAACACCCCAGGGCCTGCAAAAGTTGATTATACGTTTTCGTGGTACTCAATTTTTCGTGGTTTTCAAAAAATATTCTATTTTGTAGCCATGTGGTTTCGTGGATCAATATAGGTTAATAAATATATTCGTACAACAATAATAATGTAAAACATCCCCTGTAAAAATTAATGGTTTTACGGTTACTGAATAGTTCGCCGGTTTTGTCAACTTCGTCGATGCAAGTTGGAAATAAGATTCCTCAATCAGTTATAGATATTGTATAGATGTATGTCGTACTTATTCAACCCTGTAGCACTTTTATACTGCCTGTCGACAGTCTGAAGGTCAAATGATATTTCAACTTGGCCGCCCTTTAAAGTTATATTTTCTAGACATCTGATTAGTGAATTTTACAGCCTTACTTTTTTGTACATAAAACAAACCCCAACAAACATCTTATGATAAACTAAGATTTTTTTCTAAAATTTCATTTATGCATATAGTTGAATTTCATTTGTTTTGTGCCTTAAGTTTTAGTTTTAAAGGAGTATGGTAATGTTTTATGATTCCACAAGAGAAACATTTCGGCTTGATTTTGACAATCAGCTTTAACATCACAACATGTAGTCATTGCATCCAAAATATTTAATGAAATTGACGAACATACTTTAACACAAAATCATCAAATAACATGTTCACATGACATAACTATATCATTTTGTAGCTTTGTGTTTCAACATCTTTATCGACATACTCTGACCAGATAATACTATTGCACATGAAAGAGCCCTGTAGTTGGAAAATCCTTTAGTTATGTAGAAAATAGATAAAGAATTCAAAACATGCTCAAATATTACAGATTCATGTTTAAGACTAAAATAAAAAATGTTCTAATATGTTTTGCCATATTTTAATAATTAAAACTTTAATTTAAACACATATTTAGGACGATGTCGTTGGTTTTGTTTCAGTTCAATTACTCCACAATTGTCCTTTAGAAATATGTGATGTAATCTTAATCGTCAAATACGATTCCGTTAGATAATGGGACTAAGGAAAACTTCAGTATGACTGTAAATAATAGAAGGTTTACCACATTCCATAGTAGAGGGCGACACTGACTAGACCTCGAAATTTGTACGTCATCACGTAAAGTGGTAGGTGGGATCAATTCATCCGTATCCAATGTTGTCACATAAGCGATCTGGTTCACAATAACGCTTTCATCAACAAACACTGGTCTGACACAGATGTAATAATGTGTAAGGGGAGATAACCCGGGTATCATTGCGTTAGTCAGGTAGGCTTGAAGATAGAATGTGTTATCATTATCTATCTCTGTTCGATTTAAGTTTTTTACTGACACTGACCAGTAGAGCTGATTACCTTCCTTAAACGGCCATGTTATATTGATTGTCCTGTCGTCCTTAGATGTAACGGACGCACTCAGACTAACATGAACTTCGCCGTTGAACATAAATCCTGAGAATTGAATTAGAGGGTTGTATTCTAGATGTAATCTCGGTACCACAGAAAGTCCAATGAAATCGCTTGCCACCAATGAGCGAAGCCTGTTAGCACGTAGATCTAACGTTTGTAGATTTGTTAGTTCTGACAAGAAATTCGGATCAATTGTCAGAATTTTATTGTTTGCCAAACAAAGATTGCGCAATGCTGTCATGCCCTGCATCATACTCCTCGAGAGATCGACCAGTCGGTTACCTGTTAAATTGAGGAAGAGAAGAGATTGTCCTAGACCAGCCCAAGCTCCGGGACTGATATTTGTGATCATGTTATGGCTTAGGTCTACATGTTTAAGTGACAGAGTATGAAGAAACATTTCTCTCCTCACGATCTCTATTGAATTGCCTTCCAAATACAGTTCGTTAAGGTCTAGATGCCAGAACACATTCTCTTCTATAGTCTTAAGTCTATTATAACTTAAATCCAAAACTTTTAGCGACGCCATGTCTGTAAAAACATCACCATGGAGGGTGACAAGTCTGTTCGATGGAAGTCTGAGGATTCGGATGTGCTGTCTGAACGGATCCAAATATTTTGGATGAATTGATACAATTCTATTGTGACCTAGGTCTAATTCACGCAGTGAAGTAAGATTCCAGAAGGAATTTGACGCTAGAATACTAACCCTGTTGGCTTTGAGGAACAGCTTGCGAAGACGAAACAACGAAGCAAATGAAAAGTCACTGATTTTATGAATATTGTTGTTGGAAAGATCGAGTGTATGTAAATTGGTCAGACCAGCAAAGGCTTCTGACGTCACATTGTATAGATAATTTCTGTTTAGACGAAGCTCCCTTAGATTTACTAGACGCGCGAAACTACCATCACGGATGTGTCGGATATAGTTGTTATTAATATGGAGATTCTGTAGTTGTGTCAGGTGGGAGAAAAGGCCTGGTTTCAAATGAGGTAACTGATTGTGCTGTAGGTAAAGTTTGCGCAGTCGCAGAAGCGGGTGAAATGTATTTCCATCTATGTCGCTAATAATATTATGATCAAGGCTGATACTTGTAAGGGCAGTATGGCGACAGAATATGGTATTGGTCAGCTCTTTAATAACATTATGGCTGAAATCGATATAACTAGCCTTGACAGGAAGGTCATTTATGAGGTCGAACAAATGACCGGAAGTTAGTTCGCGGCGATCACAATATACAAAGTAGTCCCCAACACAGTCGCATACGGGTGAACAGGCATTACATGACACGATTACAATCCACAGGTTAATCAGGGTGAAAATGACGCTTGTATTTTTATCATGGAGGCGCTTCATGTTCCATCGTACCTACAACAAAAGTAAATACAAACATTATGAACGAAACTTTATATATGTAACATTGTGTGTGTGTGTGTGTGTGTGTGTGTGTGTGTGTGTGTGTGTGTGTGTGTGTGTGTGTGTGTGTGTGTGTGTGTGTGTGTGTGCGTGTTCGTGCGTGTGTGTGTGTGTGATGACAGTCATGAAATAGCTATACTTTTTTAAAATTTTGTCTTTGTTTTTCGTTGATGGCCGGTAAGAAAACAGCATATCTATCATTTCAATATTTTCTTTTGATGATGAATACATGTGAATGCTCTAAATACGACTTTTAATGTTGACCGACAAAATCAAAACAGAGCGTTACAATGGTGTATGGAGATTGATCAATGTTAAGTATGAGACAAGTACATTGTCCTTGTATGACCGATGTTATATATGGAGGTGTACAATAGACGTCTGTGGTCCCTATGCCCCTGTCCTATTTATCCTTTGTGAAACATGTGTTACCTTAAATTTAATCGACATTTACATGTCAAATGTCAACCACGAAACAAAAACATGCAAGGTCAGAATCTCTTTGAACTTTTTCTTTGGTTTGCGTGTAACTTAAATCAGTGATTCTTTAATTTACATTCTGCTGGTGGCAAGACCTACCTTGAATGGGAACATGAAAAGATGAAAAGGAATGTCTAGCTGTGTCTCCGCATAAATGTAACATTTTCTATTGTACATCCATCAATCGGCTACATTTTCCGATAACACAATAGTTAATTATACAATACCTATAATGTATACACAGGAATTGTACAAACAGTACAAAAATAGAATTCGTTGTGAATGACACGCACCATGTAAGGTCATCAAAATGTAAGATGTGTTATTTTAATTACAGAAAGATTAAGTGTTTGATTATAATTAAAACATGTGTAACGTGGGGAAATGTTACCAACAATTAAAATATTTTGTACAATAGATCATTGTAGAAAACAACTGTTTGTTATATTCAACAGATATGTTCACAAATAATTATGTTTACAACAGCATGTGAAAGATCTGTGAACAATGTTTAAAGTAAATGGCAGATATGTAACAGTTTGAGGAATGTAATGATAAACAGTTTCTGTAGTGTGACAAATACATAAACAACAGTTTGTTGTATGTGATAAACAGTATCTGTAGTGTGACAAATACATAAACAACAGTTTGTTGTATGTGATAAACAGCTTATGTAGTGTGACAGATATGTAAACAACAGTTTGTTGTATGTGATAAACAGTTTCTGTAGTGTGACAGATATGTAAACAACAGTGTGTTGTATGTGATAAACAGTATCTGTAGTGTGACAGATATGTAAACAACAGTTTGTTGTATGTGATAAACAGTTTCTGTAGCGTGACAGATATGTAAACAACAGTTTGCTGTATGTGATAAACAGTTTCTGTAGTGTGACAGATATGTAAACAACAGTTTGTTGTATGTGATAAACAGTTTCTGTAGTGTGACAGATATGTAAACAACAGTTTGTTGTATGTGATAAACAGTTTCTGTAGTGTGACAGATATGTAAACAACAGTTTGTTGTATGTGATAAACAGTTTCTGTAGTGTGATAAAAACAGTTTCTGTAGTGTGACAAATTAAACAACAGTTTGTTGTATGTGATAAACAGTTTCTGTAGTGTGACAAATACATAAACAACAGTTTGTTGTATGTGATAAACAGCTTCCGTAGTGTGACAGATATGTAAACAACAGTTTGTTGTCTGTGATAAACAGTTTCTGTAGTGTGACAGATATGTAAACAACAGTTTGTTGTATGTGATAAACAGTTTCTGTAGTGTGACAGATATGTAAACAACAGTTTGTTGTATGTGATAAACAGTTTCTGTAGTGTGACAGATATGTAAACAACAGTTTGTTGTATGTGATAAACAGTTTCTGTAGCGTGACAGATATGTAAACAACAGTTTGTTATATGTGATAAACAGATTCTGTAGTGTGACAAATACATAAACAACAGTTTGTTGTATGTGTTAAACAGATTCTGTAGTGTGACAAATACATAAACAACAGTTTGTTGTATGTGATAAACAGTTTCTGTAGTGTGACAAATACATAAACAATAGTTTGTTGTATGTGATAAACAGTTTCTGTAGTGTGACAGATATGTAAATAACAGTTTGTTGTATGTGATAAACAGTTTCTGTAGTGTGACAAATACATAAACAATAGTTTGTTGTATGTGATAAACAGTTTCTGTAGTGTGACAGATATGTAAATAACAGTTTGTTGTATGTGATAAACAGTTTCTGTAGTGTGACAGAAATGTAAACAACAGTTTGTTGTATATGATAAACAGTATCTGTAGTGTGACAGATATGTAAACAACAGTTTGTTGTATGTGATAAACAGTTTCTGTAGTGTGACAAATACATAAACAACAGTTTGTTGTATGTGATAAACAGATTCTGTAGTGTGACAAATACATAAACAACAGTTTGTTGTATGTGATAAACAGATTCTGTAGTGTGAGAAATACATCAACAACAGTTTGTTGTATGTGATAAACAGTTTCTGTAGTGTGACAAATACATAAACAACAGTTTGTTGTATGTGATAAACAGTTTCTGTAGCGTGACAGATATTTAAAACAACAGTTTGTTGTATGTGATAAACAGTTTCTGTAGTGTGACAGATATGTAAACAACAGTTTGTTATATGTGATAAACAGATTCTGTAGTGTGACAAATACATAAACAACAGTTTGCTGTATGTGATAAACAGTTTCTGTAGTGTGACAAATACATAAACAACAGTTTGTTGTATGTGATAAACAGTTTCTGTAGTGTGACAAATACATAAACAACAGTTTGTTGTATGTGATAAACAGTTTCTGTAGTGTGACAGATATGTAAACAACAGTTTGTTGTAAGTGATAAACAGTTTCTGTAGTGTGACAGATATGTAAACAACAGTTTGTTGTAAGTGATAAACAGTTTCTGTAGTGTGACAGATATGTAAACAACAGTTTGTTGTATGTGATAAACAGTTTCTGTAGTGTGACAGATATGTTAACAACAGTTTGTTGTATGTGATAAACAGTTTCTGTAGCGTGACAGATATATAAACAACAGTTTGTTATATGTGATAAACAGATTCTGTAGTGTGACAAATACATAAACAACAGTTTGCTGTATGTGATAAACAGTTTCTGTAGTGTGACAAATACATAAACAACAGTTTGTTGTATGTGATAAACAGTATCTGTAGTGTGACAAATACATAAACAACAGTTTGTTGTATGTGATAAACAGTTTCTGTAGTGTGACAAATACATAAACAACAGTTTGTTGTATGTGATAAACAGTTTCTGTAGTGTGACAAATACATAAACAATAGTTTGTTGTATGTGATAAACAGTTTCTGTAGTGTGACAGATATGTAAATAACAGTTTGTTGTATGTGATAAACAGTTTCTGTAGTGTGACAAATACATAAACAACAGTTTGTTGTATGTGATAAACAGTATCTGTAGTGTGACAGATATGTAAACAACAGTTTGTTGTATGTGATAAACAGTATCTGTAGTGTGACAAATACATAAACAACAGTTTGTTGTATGTGATAAACAGTTTCTGTAGTGTGACAGAAATGTAAACAACAGTTTGTTGTATGTGATAAACAGTATCTGTAGTGTGACAAATACATAAACAACAGTTTGTTGTATGTGATAAACAGTTTCTGTAGTGTGACAGAAATGTAAACAACAGTTTGTTGTATGTGATAAACAGTTTCTGTAGTGTGACAGAAATGTAAACAACAGTTTGTTGTATGTGATAAACAGTTTCTGTAGTGTGACAAATACATAAACAACAGTTTGTTGTATGTGATAAACAGATTCTGTAGTGTGACAAATACATAAACAACAGTTTGTTGTATGTGATAAACAGATTCTGTAGTGTGAGAAATACATCAACAAAAGTTTGTTGTATGTGATAAACAGTTTCTGTAGTGTGACAAATACATAAACAACAGTTTGTTGTATGTGATAAACAGTTTCTGTAGCGTGACAGATATTTAAAACAACAGTTTGTTGTATGTGATAAACAGTTTCTGTAGTGTGACAGATATGTTAACAACAGTTTGTTGTATGTGATAAGCAGATTCTGTAGTGTGACAAATACATAAACAACAGTTTGTTGTATGTGATAAACAGCTTCTGTAATATGACAGATATGGAAACAACAGTTTGTTGTATGTGATAAACAGTTTCTGTAGCGTGACAGATATGTAAACAACAGTTTGTTGTATGTGATAAACAGTTTCTGTAGTGTGACAAATACATAAACAACAGTGTGTTGTATGTGATAAACAGCTTCTGCAGTGTGACAGATATGTAAACAACAGTTTGTGGAATGTGATAAACAGTATCTGTAGTGTGACAAATACATTAACAACAGTTTGTTGTATGTGATAAACAGCTTCTGTAGTGTGACAGATACATAAACAACAGTTTGTTGTATGTGATAAACAGTTTCTGTAGCGTGACAGATATGTAAACAACAGTTTGTTGTATGTGATAAACAGTTTCTGTAGTGTGACAGATACATAAACAACAGTTTGCTGTATGTGATAAACAGCTTCTGTAGTGTGACAGATACATAAACAACAGTTTGTTGTATGTGATAAACAGTTTGTGCAGTGTAACAGATATGTAAACAACAGTTTGTTGTATAAACACACATGTTAAGGTTTGTTGTTTATATCAGATTTTTACAAGAACGTTTGTTCTATATGGCATCTAAGTAAACCTACTTACAGGTTTAGATTTGTCAATACATGTTTGTACAATTGTATATATGTGGAAACAAGTCATGTAACAGGCCTCCCTAGTGGGTATTATCCTTGAGCCAGGTGGTAGGGATTCTGTAGCCCCAATGGGGACATGGCAGCTTTCCTTTACGCCTTCCTATTAAATATATATTTCATTATTAGATTATTATAACAATACAACACGT